GGGGGGGGGGCCCCCCCCCCCCCCAGCCCTATTACAAGCTACGGAGATTGGCTGCAGCGTATTTCATGACTCAACCATTCACCTGCTGTAGAGTGAATGGGCAAACCTCATCCTATGCAACAGCCATGCAGAGTCAGCCTCTCTAGGCATCAATGGCTTCCAGAGCAACTAACCCATTAGCGAGACTGGAGGGTGAAAACGCTCGCTGAATTTCTACATTATTAACGTTCTTCTGTGCCTCCCATGAAATGGAACGGGACAATAATACAGCACAGGTGATGCAAGCACTCTCTGTCCTTCTCTTACCTTGGCAGAAATTAGCTTTGTGGTCATGACAACATCACAGGGGATTCGGCCAGTGTTGCAGATCTTGAAGCGAGCTGTTGCCTGGTGCCCAACCAGGACATTGTTAAAGAGAAACTTGTTCTCATCAGTCACAAACACACCTTCACAGCCTATGAACTTCAGCACTTGGCTAAGGCTGCCACTGTTACAGATCCGATGCTCCTCAAAAATGGTCCCAAGATTGTCAGTCACAAATCCTGGGAAACCAACAGTGAGAGCAACTCAGGGACTGTTTTCTCACCACATGCACAAGACCACAGGAACTAAATTAACCAATGTCAGCAATGATCGTGGCAGTTAATAGCTGCTCTCCAACCCCTTGTTTCTAACTTCAGTCATCTGCCTTCAAAGTGAGAATTGCACAGCTGGCTTTTGCACTGCTTTCAGGGCTGCCAGAGAGGAAATCTTCCCACACCCGAAGGGTCTGCGCTCAGAGGAGACAACTGAGACAAGAGCTATAGTGTCCTGCCGCACTGAGTGAATATCCTCCTCCTTACCGAGTGTGTGGGCTAGCCAGTAGTGGTGGCTGTACATTTGCACTACTATAGTGAACTGGAAGGCAGGCATTCCTGTGAAAGTTACTACATTCTGCTCAATTGCAGTTTTGATAAGGAAGTGCAGGGCTTCAACTTGGCTGTAATTGGGGATATCAGCTAACTATTCTCCTTGTACATTTTTTATGCTTGACAGTAATCCCTTCTTGATTTCGTTATTTTTAATCTTTATATTACATATTGCCTGGTTATACTTCATTTCATTGTTCTGTTGGTCTTGCATCCAAGTGCAATCCTGAACTTAGGAGGGGGCTGACAGACCACAAGCTCTGCTGGGGCCCACAGACACGGAGGGTCAGCGCAATCAAGAGGTTTAGCCAGACAGGATACGCTGAGAAAAACGGCAGTGTCCTAAGGCATGGAGTCAGGAAGGAGCCAAAGTCCAACTCCAGAACATCCTTTTAATTCCCATCCTTGTGGCCAAAGGCATTCCTGGAAATCAGTATGATGCCAGAGCCTTGCTGCATGCCAGCTTCCAGTTTAATTCTTTATTTTATTAAAGGGCTCTCTGAAAAAAGCCTGGTGGGACAGAGTTGTTTATCCTGAGCCAAAGCCCCTTGGATTTCCTCAGGGTTGAAGCTGAACCAACCTCCATGAGGCATCCTATTCCAAAGGGGTGCAGCTACTAATCCCTGCCTGCAGTTCACTTGGCATGAGGACCAGAGCTGCCAAGGTCAGAAGCAAATGGCTATGAATGACCATGAGCAAGGCCTTCCAATTCAGGAGAGGGCACAACTGGCAAAAGCACTCCTGCCACAGCTGCCACCTGTTGCTCAAACAGGAGCCACAAATCAAGGAGGACCCCCAAATTGTGCACTGGTTTTGTTTGGGTAGCGCAACCTTATCCAAAACAAGAGACAGACAACCCTAATGCACAGCCACTCAGTCTTGCTGGGGTTGAGCTGAAGCTTGTTCTTTCCCATTCAGCCCCCCACAGCCTCCAGACCCCGAGGCAGAATCTCCACTACATCACTTGGTCAGACATGGTTAGAGATGTAAAATTGTGTATCATCAGCATACTGATGACACTGGATCCCATGCTGACAGATGACCTCGTCCAGAGGCTTCACGTAGATGTTAAATAGGAGTGGGTAGAGAACAGAACCCTGAGGGACCCTACAAAAAGGGGGTCTTGGATCAGCTCTCCCCCTCATCAATACTGACTAGAACTGAACTTGAAGGAAGGAGACCCACCACAACACTGTGCTCCCCATTACCAATCCCCTGAGCCAGTCCAGAGCCATACTGGTGATACTGAAAGGAGAGCAAGCATGGGCACACCACCTCATCTCGCTCTTGCCAGAAGTCATCCACAAATGTGGTCAATGATCCCAATGAATCCCATACTCAGATCTGAAACTGATTGAAAGAGGTCCAGATGATCAGCTTCCTCCAAGGCTCTCTGAAGCTACAACACCAGCCCCTTCTCAACAACCTTCTCTAAAAGGGGAAGGTTGGAGACAGGATGAAAATGAGAAGACACATGAAACCATCAACAACATCTTCGAAAGAATAAAATTCAGCAGAGAGGAAGAAAACAACAACACGCTACCCTTCCTGGATATCCTCATCAGCAGAGGAAACAACAGCAAAATTCAGCAGAGAGGAAGAAAACAACAACACGCTACCCTTCCTGGATATCCTCATCAGCAGAGGAAACAACAGCAAATTAGAAACCCAAGTTCATCGGAAGACACCCCACACCAATCAAGTACTCCATTACCAAAGCCACAACCCAACCTCCCACAAGAGGAGCTGTGTAAGAACATTGTTCAAGTGAGCAGAAATGCACTGCAGCAACCCAGAACAGCAGAAAAAGGAAAAAGACCACCTATACAACATCTTCCAACACAATGGAAACCCACACAACTTTATAAAAAAATGCCTGACCACTCAACCTACTACAACACAACCAACACAAGCTATGAAAAGGATAACACTGCCACACGTCAGAAACATCTCAGAAACTACCAACAGACTATTACAACCACATGGCATCTCCATAGCATACAAACCACCCAAAGCCCTTAAGCAAACCAAAAGGCCCAGTAGCCCAAGAAGAAAAAACAGGAGTCCTCTACAACATACAGCGTGAGGACTGTAACGGCCACTATGTAGGACAGACAGGCAGAAGGCTTGCAGAGTGCATCCATGGACACCAACTAGCAGTCAGAAGACACGATGAAAACTCCTTAAACTCAGAGAACCCCAAGGTTCTCTACAAACTACAGGATGAAAATTGTCCAGCAAGGTTGGGTCCAGCTATGGTTTCTGAAGGACAGGTCAGATCATTGCCTCTTTAAGTTCTGGTAGTACCACCCATCTCTCAAGGTTGAATTCACTGGCACCCTGAACCCAGCCACACGTTTTTTTCCAGGAGGCCTTGGCCAGCCAGCAAGGACATTTATCTAATATACAGGAGGCTGAGCTCACGGCCATGAGGATCCTGTCCAAGAGTAAAAGGATCAAGCTTATTCCAGATAAGAAAGCCAGACCATGTCTCCACCAACTCCATAGGACTGGTTACACAGCCAGCATCCAACTTAGAGTGAATCTGAGTTGAATTTTATCCAACAGATGCCTAGAATATTCCTCACAATGGACTCTGTGGGTATGACTCAGTGTCCATCCTACTAAGGAGGGACTGAGTGACTCTGAATCTCTGCCAGTCAGCTATTTGCAGACATGATAAGGGCCAAAAAATATGTATGTTTTGCTGCCCTTATCATCACAAGGTAGTCCTAAATAAAAGCTATACTCTATGTCTGGTCAGAGTCACTTTCCATTGTCCTCTTCATGTCTCTTCTGCCATTTCATCACTTGCAGCTTCTCTGTAAACCAAAAGAAGACCAGGCTCCATGGATAGGGAGAGGCCACATAGGCCTCATTCCAGGCAGCAACCAAAGCCTCAGTTGAACCGTGCACCAGACCTTCAGGAACAACCCAAAGCTCCCTTTGAAACCCACATGGGTCCATTCAGGTGCCTGAGGCAAACTGAATAAATAGGTACTACCTCCCTGTGGTCGTGAGCAGCACTATAGCATTCCAAAGCAATCAGAGAATGATCAGTCCATGGCAAGGGAGTGATGGTAGGCTCCCCAAAAACTAAACCATGATGTCGCCACTGCCACGAGACAAAAATGTGTGACCACCAATGTGTTTTGGGCCCTTGATAACCTGGGTCAGGTCCATGCTTACCATAGTGGCCATGAATTCCAGATTCCATGCCCAAGGAAGGCAGGTTGTGTCAGGGTATTACCCTGGAGTAAAGAATTTCTCAGTGAGAATATGGACTTGACAGAGCACAGCTTGACTGCGCTTGCAATCCCCGCAACCCGCCCAGAACACACACCTTTAGGGTGTGGCAGCATGACACAGCACAAACCACTGCATATAGCAAAGTGCACCATGGGTTATACTGTGGCTGGTGATAGGAGTTGTGGCTGGTGTTGAAGTTCTGGGAAGTAATTAGGGATTTTCAGGTTGGTGGTGTACATTCTGTATATATTGTACAGTAAACATCTGTGTGCAAGTTTCCTACATCGGACTATGGACTGTTTATTTTGTCTCACTCATGGAGTACCACTATGTGGAGTGTACGCTGCACACCCCGACAGGTTGAACTCCCGCAGGACCATAAGCCTGGGGAGCTCCACTGTTAACCCAGCCATGGAATCGAGAAGCTCAGGCAAAGATGTTATGCAGCAGGGAGACTGGTAGAACAGCAACTACGCAAATGATCCCTAGAGCCCAACTTCACAAACAGGGTCTCATGTCCAATAATATGTGGTGCAATGCCTTGGAAAGCCTCAAGAATCTCTTGGATGACAATAGCCCTTCCACCTCCCCTGCCCTGGGGTCTTGGTTGATGTCATACCCAAGACCCAGATGGGCATATTTCCGAGTGGGTAACACCCCGTTCTGTGCCCATTCAAGTCTTGGTGATACACACAAGATCAGCCTTCTCATCCACAATTAAATCACAGATGAGGGGAATTTCATTTCAAGCTGACCTGGCATTCAATAGCCACAGTCAAAAGCCTGGGCCTCTGAAGGTCTGATGACCAGGCACTGGGAAAGAGATCAGAGGACTGGAATGTGGAACTGATATACGATACCAAGACTGTGTTCTCCAAGTGCAGCCCATTCATGTCTCCTGCCACATCTCCATCTGCCCATAACTACCGTAATATTCATGCCGGTCTCCAACACCCCCCTCCCAGTGGTCAGGTCTCCCCCTGAACCCCAGGCAGCTGTTCCCCAGGTCAAAGTGCTAATGCCCTCATCAGAAACCTTTTCGGAAATCTTTGCCAACCTGTTGCTAATCTCCCAAAAATGACTCTGACCTTCCTTTTCCCCACCCCTTTTCTAAACCAGGCCTTCATTTGAGGGACAATTATATTTTTAATACCTCAGCTTGCTTTTCAGGAAAAATGAAATCTGATTCCCTGGCCTGGTGCCTAGAGCATGTACCCCCAGGCAGTGTGGGCAAGAAGCAAGAGAGAAGGTCTGCCTACCTGGAATGCAGGACTCTGCAACGAGCATGTAGAGAATGCCTCCGGGATTGTCTTCAGGGTCTCGGTCTGTGACCTCAATGATCAGGTATTCTTCAGACTTCCCAACAGGGTCAGCAAAGCAATCCACAGTGATGACCTGATGGCCTCCTGCAGCAATGTTTCCATAGCCCGGATACACAGTGAACATACCAAGAGAGAAGCGAGCCTGTGGAGAGAGTGGGGACTGCTTTCCATCAAACTGCTGCTGGCTGACACCAGCTGTTCTACATCAAGATGTCCACCGAGGAGTCCTGGAGATTCAGCCAGTGGCAACTGCTTCCTGAGGACCAGTGGCAATAGAGGAAAGTAGCATTGGGTAAAGTCTTCCCAGAACATTATTCTCAGCTCAGAGGGAAGCACCCTAAGTCTGGTGCTAATGCTGGGGACTCATATTCCTGTGCACTTACCCAATGGAGCCATACCTCTTCATCATATGTCCCTGGTCCCATTTCCCTAAGACATATTCCAGGGCTTGAGGTACTGAAGCAGCATGTAGAAAAACTGGATGGGAGAATGCTGACACGAAGCCAGTCAAAGGAAATCACCCGTTTTCCCAAACTGAAGTATGAATCTTGCAAACAGGGGTGGGAGAAGAGCAAAATGGAGGAAGAAGTCTCTTGCCTACCTGACCCACGAGGTTCATGTCTCTTTGCAAGGATTCAGCATGCTTGCTTTGCCTGCCTGTGCCTGGAAAAGCATTCTGCCGGCTGAGGTCTGTGTCACGGGAACGGGAAGTTTTGATATGAGAGTTTCTGAAAGAGGAAGCATAACAAAACATATGGAATCCTATCTGCAGTCTCAGAGCACAGGCAGTGGAGGCTCCACCAAAGAGGCCAGGAGCACAATCAGTCACATATTTTATGGGCGCTCAGGGACACACCCATACGCACCCTTCACAGGGCCATAATACGCCTCCCCCAAAGGAATTAAAAGAGAGAGAGTGGAGGAGGGCTCTTTGTGGAGGATCTTAGCTCTTCCAGGGCTGTGCTTCTACCCTGAGCTATGGGAGCTGAGCTGGTTCTCACAACATTTGATGTATTTTCCGGATTTGTACCTTTCCTTACTTTGAAGTGTCAGTTCCTTTCTCAAGGAAATAAAGACTGTCCATGCAAACATATTTACATGTCTAATATTTGAGGTAGAGACAAAAAAGACCAGACAGGCTGTGTGGGCTACAACTCCCTACCTCATTCCCCAGAGTTGCTCTTGGTAGAACAGTAAATGAGAAAAGTTAAACAGAGGGGGTGGCAACATGTTGACAAGATGACCAGCAATCCCATCCTAGAGCACCTCTGAGGTCATCCAAACCCACTGTCCTGATTAGACATGTTCATTCATTCATTCATTCATTCATTCATTCATTCATTCATTCATTCATTTAACTTGTCCCTGCCCATCTCCCC